ATTTTCCATAAGTCTACAAAGTCGCATGCATCTGGCTTTGCTTCACAACTCCACTCGCTCACTCCTCCTCGCGCTCTCTCCCTCCCACTCACTGTGTGCGTGTGCACTCGGGCTACAATTAATGGTAGAAAAGCACCGTTAGGGTGGACAACAACAATAGCGGTAAGTACCATTACAAAGTAGCACGAATACTAACACAACCACAAATAGCCGGCGGCGAGCAGCAAAGACGCAACAAATAGTGGAATTAGCAGCAGTAGATAGTTGTGACAAAACACACACACACATCACCAATAGTGGCTATAGCAACAACAAAAACAGTACATACAAAATTCGTTATCATAACCACCACTTTTGTGAACCCTGCAAGCCGTGGTGGCCAACTTGACTGAGAGACCATTATCTCCCCCGCCCCTCTATCTCTCTCACTCTTACCCACACAAACTCACACACACACGCGTACTTTCTTACTCTCACCCACCGTGGAAAATTTATTGTTCTCCCCATCAGCAGCAGACAGCTGTAATACGCTTTTGCTGAAGCTTGGAGCGCATCACTGAGATTGCCATTTGACAACCGTGGAATTGCTCTTGGCCAAAATTTAGTAGATTTGGACATTACTTTTGGCGTTGGGCAGAGTAAGTGGAGGAGACGAGCTTGCTATAAGCTGAACGGAAAGCAGGAACAGCACAGTTAAGATATTTCTAACGCTGTTTGCCCGCTGTATACTTCCGCTTCGTCTTACTTCATGCATTCATTCCGCTTTACGAATTTGTCTCGTTTTATGACTTGTATTGAAATTCGAGAACACAACTACCGTCACTCCATATCTGCCGCCGTCGCACTCTGTCTCTTTCTCTTTTTTCTTCTCTCAGTCAAACGGTAATATCTCCGTCTTCAGCTCTCTCTTGCTTGACGTTTGCTCTAAACACTTTTATTTTTTTGTGTGCAAAGCGGAAATCACTTTAATGCAATTGAGCTGAAATTGCTGCACATTTCCATTTCATTGTCGCAGTACAATCACTCGTACACATAACTACATTGTCTATTGTACATACAAACAACTGTGAGTATATTTTCATTGCTCGTGGCGTGACAGTCTTCTTTGCTACACAATGCTGCTACTGATTGAAAAATGAATAAGTGAGTGCTGAGCGGAGACTGCGAGTGGAGAGTAGTTACTCCTACAAGTACTCAGAGATGAGTTGTACAGTGTATGAAGTATATTTCCCTACGGTTGCTTTGATTAAGTTTGTTTAGTGTAAATGTCTCAAGGGCTTGACCTAGAACTGCTTCTTTGGAAGGAATTTTGAGCATTTCTGACATGAAGCTGATAACTTAGGTTAGGTTTACGCACTCAGACTCAGTCAAAAATTTACGAACCATGGCATTTCGTTTGATCCGCAGACTTCATTAAGCAACAACAACAAGCAACCTTTGCGACTAGATACTGTACAGCGAAGAAAAGGAAGTGCAGTATCCTTGACAGCCACACAGCCTTCTAGATAATGCTAGGTATGATACCGGTAGTCGAGTATTCTTAGGCATTCCCAGTAGAAGAATGTAGAAGACACGAAAACTGCTTCGCTTGCTTGAATTCTTGGTCCCAGCTTACGTAGAACGCCCTGAAGGTAGTTCCGAGCCTGTTTGCCATAAAAGGTATTGCATCGAATACTTTCAAGGTTAGAACGTTCTCTCGACGAACAATGTCACTTTGAAGTGTATCTCCGTATAACTCGTACAGCTTGTCGTTCCATCGACTGCAGTATTTGTCGTTGCCATACAGCACAGAGCCATAAATCTCAAAAAAATAATTAATAATTCCTAATCTGTGTATAATTCAGGGCACGATCGGTGCCCAAGCCTACTAGGAATAAGAGAAAGAAGTCTACGTTCGCAGGTATAACAACCCGTTTAAACGCCTGGTCCGAAGTGTTTGATTTTGATAATCTGGGGCCTGTACTTCTGGACAGATTCCCTTCAGCTGGACGTCTCTGGGTTCTACACATTTTCTATGAACATGGACTCTCTTACTAGAGTATCGTCAGATCTGCAAGTGTTCTTACGTTATGAAGTTTAAGATTTATATACGAGAAGAGTTTAGTCGTCTCTTCTTCTCGGGACAAATACATTATTTTAACTATGCTATGAACTCTCTCTGGGTGTCCTAGAAAAAAGCTTTTAGAAAAACTTTTGAGTCTAAAGTGAGAGCTGATACTTCTTCTTTTCAAATGCCGCTACGTTATGAAAAATAAAATTAAATCAGGGGGTTCTTCTCATACCACAGGTTAGAGGAGTAGCTAAGTCAAAAGTCTTGGTATCGAAAGCCTTCAAATGTGCCTAATGGATGAACTGCAGTTTAATCTAGACCGAGGGATGTTTGCGTTAAGAAAAGTAATTTTTCTATAATTTTAGATGTTGATCTAACCAGAACTCTTCAAAATGACAGTACGCAATGCTAACACTTCGGCTATTGTCCTGCTCTCTCTCCTTGTCTTATTCTCTTTCTCTCTTTTTATTTCCCTCTCCTTACGTCTCTTTCTCTTTATCTATCCCTATATCTCTATGTATATCCCTCCATTCCTCTCTTTTTCTCTATCTCGCTCTCTTTGTCTCTCTATCTCCCGCTCACTTTGTCTCTCTTCCGCTCTCTTTCTTTCTGTCTCTCTCAGTTTCTCAAAACCCATAAAAACAGAGCTAGAAGGAAGTCAAACGTGTCTTCTTAGTGTTGACCTCACGTGTTGCCGTGAACTTGGCTGACACACTGTGCAAGACATGCTATATGCATATGTAAAGAAGAAGATTTTCGGCAAAGCACGCGCTCACCAACAATGGCTATGTACAACACTCAAACTATAAAATATCTTATAAATGGATTATTCGAATGAAATGCGCGCTCACAGATATATACACACACACACACACGCACACCAAGCGGGACTTGTGTGAGCAACTAACAAAAGATTGAGCGCTTGAGGTTGTCGTTGTAAAAGAAGGATGTGGACTCGATGCGCTTAGCATTCGTTTAGTTTTTCGTTGAATGTGTCTTTCGATACTTTTTATTTAGCTCGACTTGAGTTTTTTTATGCAATTTTTATGTACTTCATTCATCTTTGCCTTCACTTTTTGAATTTATTTTTTTTGTCTTTCCGCTCATGTTGATTTCAACCACGTCTAATTCAACAAAGTGCTGGAAAGTTTGTAGAAAAGTATTTATAACTGACTAAAATGTATTTTTGTCAGCATATTTATATATATCTACATACATATACATATGTGCTTCAACTTGTCTGCACGCTCGTCATTAAACTCGCTAGATGACAGCTTACAAAGTGAATGACAATGAAAAATAAGCTCACTGATACTTTGTAAACGAGACCGCACAAAACGGTATTAATTTGAATTGTCATTTTCAATCGAATTTCGTAGCACCGAAAAAAAGCGACAAGAGCGGAAAAATAACAGTAATATCAAATAGTTGTCGATGAGTAAAAGAGATTAAAAAATTTCATTTTTTGTGTGCTGTACTTTTTTTTACTGCGAAAATTGGATTTGCAAGTACTTTTAAGTGTGCACTTGGCAAGCAACAAAAAACAAAAAAAAAATATAAAAAATAAGAAAATGAAAAAATGAAATGAAAACGAGAAGTGGTAAAACAAGCGAAAAATTCATTAAAAAATTCCTTCGTAGTTTTACTATTTCAGCTCGCATGCTAAGCAAAGAAGTTTAATGTTCTTCGATGCTAAGAATTTTTCTCTTTAAACTTTCATTCGTCTTATCATTTCTTTCTTAATGAATTATAAATTCAACAATCCTAACTGCACTAGTATACAACTAGTATAAAGCTGATGCATAGTGACCGCAATAGCCGAGGGGTTGGCATTGCATACTGCCGTTCTACAAAATTATAGAAAGTTGCTTTTGTCAAGCCCTCATAGAGTTGTTCTGGCATTAGATAAAAAGCTCTGAAAATAATGCCGTTATGTCTCTCTCATATAAGATTTGTTGGCTTCTCTCGATGCCAATTTTACACTAACCAAATCATTCGCCATAGACAGCAACCACTTAATCTGGCCTGGTCTTTAGGGTGGATGGATAACTAATTAAGCTTTTGGTGCTTTTGCGAGCCACTATCGCTATATGTGTGGTTTAGCCTTGTCTTGACGAAACACAATTCTTCCTTCAACTCCATTTAGGTAAAGCTGGGCACTTCTGGGTGATTCTTTCTTTCAGTATGAGTCAGAACTAAGAGTTTGACACTCGAAGATTAGCAAATAGTGGACGTTTCCTTACCAATCACTTCAAACAGATAACCGAACCTTTGCGGCCCTCAATGCTGGCTTAGAGACACAGTTTTTGCCGGCCTACTGCTCTTTGACTACCAGTATTTTCATTTGGTGCTGCTGTAGGTAGTCCATTTTACATCCCCAGTCATAATTCGCTGCAGAAATTTGTTACGATTCACCAGCGGTTCGCAGTTGGAATGAGGTGTTTTCTCGTTAACTCATTTGGCACCCATACATGGAGCTTCTTTATCTATCCAACATTTTTCAAGTGATTTCAAACTGTTTTTTGCGAAATCCAAGAACCGTCCTCGCATGAGGTTCAGCCACGACTTTATCGACATTGTCCACAAGTCAAAAACACCAGAATGAATTCGCCGAAAGGGTGAGCAGTTAATTTTACGTTTCACCGTTAGACTTTTGTCTGTAGGAATATGCAAAGTCCATAGTCTATGCGGACAATACCGCTTCGATTCAGGAATCTGAGCAAAACATCTTCGAGTGTCATTGTGAATGTGGGGAGCCTCGGAATGGATCACCTTTTATAATCCATTAAATTTATGTTTTATTTAAAATTTCTGAATTACAGTTTCTGCTCCTTAGTGGATCGCAGTCCATCAATTAATTTCCGACAGTCCATCAATCACTCAACTCAACAACTGTAAATTTATGATTTCCTTTCTTGATTTATCCTATTTTTGCTCTCTTTCTCTGCAGGCTGCCATTATGAAGACGTCCACTTGCGACTTTGCTGGTCAGAGCGTTAATGCTTTCCCGTTAACGACATACGCTGAATGTGCACTTGCAATCTATAACAACAATAACAACAACAACACTGTGAACGCAGCTATTAATAACAATTTGAACAAAGATGAGGCCACCGCCAATGCAAACAGCCGCGTTGCAGCCGAATAATGAGTTGCATAAGGACACACACATACAGCAGAGGCATATACAGCAACTACAGCAACAACAACAACAACAACAGGAACAACAATTTCCACTACATTTAAGGCAGCAGCAGCAATACCAACAACAACTACAGCAACCACAAACCACTCCACTAACACAACTACATCAGTCAAGTTACGAGACAACAGTCGCGGCGACAACGCAACACACGCAACGTGGCAAATACTATTTTGAGCAGCAGGACTTTCAAGTTAATAAACCGCTGAATTTTGTTGCAACCTCAACAACTGCAGCAGCGACAGCGTCCGTTAAGGAGGTGCGACGCAACTCTAGCGCTTACCCGGCGCCAACAACAGCAGCCGACGGCAAGTGCTGGCAGCAGGAGCAATTGGTGCAACGTCAACACGTGCCGGCACAGCCGCAGCAGCAGCAACAGCCACAATTGCACGCGCAACCGCAACGCGCCAATCTTGATTGCATACAACTGCTGGACTTGAGCACTTCACCGCCGCATGAACCCGTCTATCCGCTGCAAGGCAACCTCTCGACATACTTGCCACCACAGCGCCCCCTAGTGGAGGCACCAGCCTCATATCGACGCGCATCTGCAACTAGTATTGCACCAGTGCCAACACATCGCGCCTCTTACGCCAGCCAATACTCGCGTTCGTCATCGAGTGAGGACGGTTCTATCGGCGGCGGCAGTTCAGCCCCTTACGTGAACTCCTCCTTAGCACGCGGTGGCACAAACAGTGCATTCGACGACGCGGCTGAACATTTCATAATCAACTTCCCAGCCGCAGACTCACCGTCGCATAATCAGAACGATTGCGCTATCAATTTGCCACTCTCCGAGACCGAGCCATTGCTAACGAATATCGAGTCGACGGTTGCGGCTAAGCAACGCTCGATACGTTTGCCAAAGAGTAGCGCTTCATTGATATTCACAAAGAAGGATCTGTTACCGCAACGGAATGCGTCAGTAGCGCCCCAACCAGCTGTAGGCAATACGACGAATAATAATTGTGCGACGCAACAGCAACAACAAACGAAACAAAATAAACGCAATCAACCGAAACAACAACAACAACAACAATTGTTGCAATACAGTCTCAGCTTGCGTACAGCTAACGAATACTCGGCACGCAAACCCGTCAAGCATTTGCCGGCTTCATATCAGGAAACTCAGCAACAGCAACAACATTCGCAGCAGCAACAACATTCGCAGCAGCAACAACATTCGCAGCAGCAAAGACGTAGTTTGCAATTGAATTACAACAACAACAATCTGCTCACCACATCCGCTTGTTGCGGCACGAACAATAATTATTGCAACAACACAACGGCCAAAGCGGTGAGAGGTGCTCCCAGTGGCGTTGTGAGCGTTGGCGCCAAAAGTGTTGGTGCTGTTTTGCATAAACGTCATCAGTCGAGCGTTGGCTTGAGTTCTCAAACAGCTGCTACGGTAGCCACGACAACAATTCTGCCAACAACTGCCAATCTCATTCCACAACAACAACAACAACAACAACAGCAGTCACATCCCCAACCAGTACAAAGCAATACAAACACGGCTGCAACAACACGTAAGCAACACGCGTACTCTTGGTACGCTCCGGTCTATAGTGCGCTTGAGGAGGAACTGGAACAAGATTCTAGGGTGAGTAGTGATTGTTCAGCACATTAACGCTCGTGATTTATTGCGAAGCTCATGCTTATTTTTCTATGGTCTTTAGTGCCAAACTTACATACATACTTTTTGGTCAGCTTAGAATCATCTTATTCCTGTGCCTAGCACACAATGTTTACTTAGCACCTTTACCAGAGCCATGCTAAGGAGCTTTGAAAGCAACAAATTTAGATGAAAGCTTCAACTCAAAATCGAGCACCTCGGCTCCGATCTTCCTCCCAAGCTTACGCGTGTTCCGGTTTCACCAAAAAGTACCCTCTTCTCTGCAAATAGTGAGACAAAACAGCACCTGAAAACAAATTTCGTAGGGACAGTTGCACAAAAAAATGTCAAAGAGAGCTTAAATTTGGAAGCTTTCGTGTAATTCTCAGTGCTTGGCCAAAAAACCAGAAATTATGGTTTTTACTTGGAATGCTCTATAAGAACACTGAGCAATTATATGGAATACAACGCATTATTCCCCGATTTGAGAGACCAACAATGATTTTCGTCAGACCCTTGATTTCCACTGAACCTCTTTGCGAGAGCGGAAGTTCTACCCTGAGAGCCAATACACGGTCGGAATCCGAATTCAATGCTTTGGATCCTACAACCTCAGACTTTTTATCTTAAATTTCAACCCTTTTTGTTAAAGTCAGGCCACCGCTGTGGTCTAATGTGTTCAACTCCCTTTCTGACCGACATTTAGAAGAGTTTTTTTTTCGTATTGTTTTCAATCTATCTTATTTACTTTAAATTCTCTTGACAAATCTTTATGAAATGTAAGAATTTTTAATACTGGTCGTCTATAGAAAAGTTCCTGACGAAACTTTTGAACTTTTTTAGACTTTCGGTCTGTAGAAAAGTTTCTGACGAGACCTTTGGACGACTTGCAACTAAGATTAGTCTTTTTAAATTTCTATGCACTATGGCCTGAGAATTTAGATTAACACATAGCTGGATCAAGGCTAACCATGTTTAGCTTATAGAAAGCCACACAATGATAATTTTGTGAAAATTGTATGCCGTATCGAGATCATTTGAGGTTTTAACCTTCGAAAAGACCAAAATTTAGACTTACAAACATACAGAAATGGCGATCGTCGAGGTCCGTAAGCTCGGATAATATAAAGACGATCCTTCTTACAGACGCCTTAGTAAACTGCCCTTATCGTGAGAGTTAAGCTGAAAAACTCTGCTTTCCGTAAGAGTAAAGTTTTCGAACAAAAAAATTCACCAAAAAATTATCTAAATTCGGCATCACCAAAAGAGAAAAATATTTGACTTTCAAAACTTAGATGTAAAAAAAAAATGAAATAAAAAATTACCAAATGTGAACAAAAACAAAAATTCATAATTTTAATGTCGAATCATTAATGATTTTCTCATTTGTTTTGTACGCTCTCCGCAGGATTCCTCGCCCATTCACAATCTGGCCAATACAAAGAAACAACACCATTACCAACACCAGCGGCCCACACACAACTCCTCAACGGCGGCGGACAATGAGACAGTTGCGCTGTTAGAGACGCGCAACCAAGTCAACATTCAAGCACAGCTGCATGCCGTGCAGGCCAATAGCCACGCCCGCACGGGCAAAGAAGGCAACCTCGGCGGCAATAGCCACGGTGTTGGCATTGGTGTCGGGAAACAGAAACACGGCAGCCAAACGCGACGTACAAACGGTGCTGCACCACAAGCACCAACCACACTGTCGCTGCCGAACTCGCACAATGCCGCATTGCAGAACGAAATGGCCGGCGGTGAGAGTAAAACAGAGTCAGCAACAGCGCCGGTGAATGGTTACGATGGCGACGGCAGTTTGGTGAACTCCCTAAGTGGCACATTGCCGCCACGTAGGCGTATAGAGAATTTCTTGAAATCGCTGGTGGGTCGTAAGACGTCGAACGCGCGCAACAATAGTGGCAACACGGCAATTGTGGAGCCTGTAGTGCCCTGCCGCGCCGAGAATATTGTATCGCAACAGCCAATGCCCGCCTCGCCGGAGATCACTATAACGCGCACTCCATCCGAGCAAAATTTGGTGCTTTTACGTGATAGCTCGTTGCGCGGTCGACCGTCGTACAAGCAACAGTTGGCAGCGGCAGCAGTAATGCAAGAGCAGCGCAAAAGCGATTTCGGCGCCGATAAATTAACTGTGAATGGTGCAATACAAGGCAGCACTTCGTCACTGAATGTGGTGCAACAAAAGTTGTGGAATATGATGCGGCGCGAGGGTAGCGCGGCCAGTTTGTACAATGAGAAATCGCATTCGATAGTACAGTACCGCGGCCTGCGCAAATGTGAGACTGTATTGGCGTTGACGCGGCAAACGAACCCCCTGTGCTCGCCCATTTTCGGTGGCAGTGCGGCAGCGCAAGTGGGTGCTGGTGGCATTGGTGGAGGAAAATATGGCGGTGGACTTGCTGGCAATGGCAGCAATATTGGCGAAAGTGGTGTTGCGCGACATAATAGTTGCAGCGCCGGCGGTGGTGGTGGCGCTGGCGTTGGCGGCATGCGACGTACACAAACCACCGGCAGTGGCATTTTTAGCGCCAGTGGCGTCGAGCAAATACGGCCATTGAATCGACTGCGCAATAGCGTGACGAGCGTGAATGCGTGCGCGACGTGTTCGCGTTGTTCGAGTTTGCTATCACTGGCCGCTTCGGGTTCGCGTTACTCGCTTAATGTGGCAACGAATGGTGGGGCATTCACAGCGGCGCCCAGCACACAAATGCCCACATCTGCATCACAACAACAACTGCAAGCGCTCGCCGCAACGCTCGATTGCAAGCCGCCGCCACATTCATCACAACATCATCAACAACAGCGCGAACGTAAAATTAGTAATGTAAGCAGTAGTCAACCGTTAAGTAGTAATAATAATACTAGTAGTAATATATTATGTAGTATTCGTAATGCTGAGAACACTGTCGACGAGCAGAAGGTCGCCGGCGCTGGTGGTACCGGCAACAGCAGTAGTAGTGGTAATTGTTCCCGTAAAAGCTCCGCCGGTGCGCCGAGTACAGATAGCGCAAGCAGCATTACACCGCCGTCCAATGTGACCACGGCTACGCTCACCTCAAGCATCACATCGCCGCACATCGCCAGCACACCCACCACGCCCGTAGCTCTGGCGCCACGCACAATGGCACCACAAGAAATACTAGTTATCACACCCACCGCCCATGCGCCGCCTCATCTGCAGACCCGATCGGCTATCTCGTCCTACACTGCAAGCAACACTCATAGCCGAAGTCACAGCCACAGCAACAGCAACACCTCAGGCATACTCATCGATCTGCCATCATCACCGAACTCACCGACCTCCGTCGCCGCCACGGCAGCCAGCGCTGCTACTCCCTCTTCGACGACAAGCACACCCTGCTCTTCTGCTTCCTGCTCATCGATCACTTCACCCGCCACCAATCACGGTGCTTTGCCACCGACAACATCACAAACATATCCCTTTACCATAACATCGATGTTGGCGTTGTCAAAAGCAGCACAGGCAGGCGTTGGTGGCGGAGCGCAGTTGGAGGAGGATGACGACGATGCTACTATGGCTATTACGCTATCGCCAGTGGCTAATGCATCAGTAGACTCTACTGATGGCCGACACTACGCTGCATATGCAACAACAACGAACGCAGCGATGGCAGCTCAACAATCATCGAAACGTTTTGAACCATTCACATGCAAACTGTGTCTGGTCGATGTCGAAACGAGTGAGGATGCAACAACGCTACAGCAATGCGGCTGTGAATTCTGCACTGAGGTAAGTGAGGCGAATCGAGATCCCCTTTATATATTTATAGCTCAGATGCAGTTCTGAAATATTTATTATATAATTAAAGTCTCTCCCTGATGATCTAAGCTAAGAACGAAAGAGACAGCTCTCAGCGCAGGGCTACATATAGAGAGATAGAGTAGTACACATGGGCGAGGAAACGTGAAAAATTGCTTATGTCATAATATCACGAGACTGAGAGCAGTCTTTGGTAATGCAAATGGTTTGATACAGAGTTACGGGGAAGAACGAAACGGAGAAGTTAAAAGTGGAAGAGAAAGTAGACAGAGACAGAAAGAGATTTCTTGACATGACGAGAGAGAAAAAACAGCGTTAAGGAAAAAGACGGACAAAGATAATAGGAAAGTAAAATGAAAATAAATGGGGAAATGAAAACAAAAAAAGAGTAAGAAAAATAGAATAAGACATGGTGAAGGACATTGATATGACAAGGCAGAGAGATTTATACAATGGAAGATAGAGAAATAAAAATAAAGATAAAGATAAAGATAAAGATGAAGATAGAGATAAAGATACAGATACAGATACAGATACAGATACAGATACAGATACAGATACAGATACAGATACAGATACAGATACAGATACAGATACAGATACAGATAACGAAAAAGGTAACAATGAAGGGTTACAATAAAGAAATGAAAGAAAAAGAGAAAGAGAGATAATAAGATTAGATAGGAGAAAGAGTGGGAATGAGAAAGGGAAGAGGATGAAGAAAGTGTCGGCGAAATGAAAGTTTTGCTAAAGCAAAATTTGAAATTGTCAAAATCTTTGTTTTACCTTTGTCCCACATATTATCCAAACACCGCCAATTATGCACAGTGAACTACAACTTTAAAGCTCCAAGTAGACCACGTTTTGTAGTTACGCCCAAGTAAAGGATTTAGTGATTTTTAACGATGACTCGGTCATATTTTACGCGGAAAAGCCAAGCATCATGCCGAACCATCATCGCGTCGTTGGCTGTCTCATCCGACTCATGTATCTAATTCCGGTTGAGCTTTAGCGTCGCGACAGCTCACACGCCAAGCATCGTCCTATAGCCAACAGCGCAATACATAAACTTCTCCTCAGTCATGCAATCCACTGAGGGCAACGTTGGATTTCGCTTGTTTACTTGACTTGGCTGTCAATAGCATTGGTTGGGATGTATGTACATACGTGTAGATATGTACATATCTGTGGGTGTATGCCCGTAAACTGGCATATTTGTAGACCTCTGTCTCATATATTTCCCCGTAATTGTTGTTTATTTGTGTGAGTACTTAACATACATATGTACATACAAATAGTGCAACTGCAGTTTGCTGATGCTGTCGGGAGTTTACCTTTGAAAGCAAACACACACATACACACACATACAGACACAAGCCTTAACCGTGTTTAAGCCAAAGTCATTTTGTTGTTTCTTACAACTACATATATTTATGTATGTATATCAGCATATGTGTTTGTGCTTATGTTTGCTCGGCACTCGTGAATTCATGATGCCTTTCGACAATCCATCCATGTCTCTTTTTCTTCTCTTCCACCTTTGTTCATCTTCCTTCCATTTTAGCCTTTTGTGTGACATTAATTGCTCTTCAAGGTACAATTAAATACGAATTTCATTGTTGTATAATGTCGTTTTCGACATTTTCTTTCATTTTCAAATCATTTCGGTGATTTTCAGACTACAAACATCTCACACACACATAAATTTGTACCTATGTTCATATGTATTCGTGTTTGTCTATTGACAGAGTTGTAGCTCTTTTCTTTGCAATTTAATTTGGTGTAAATCGTTTTGCTTGATGACTTTGTTGTTGCTTTGTTAGCTTGTCGGAATAGATTTCAAATGAATAGCAGAATCTCGCTGCTGTGATTTATTTGTTGGATTTGAGAGGGCGTATACACATTTCAGCATACTAAATGTCCTACTTATCAATTGAAATATGTAATATTAATAGCTAGCAAGTAAATGAAAGGACTATTATAAATACAGAAGCATTACTTATGCTCTCAATTAAATTTATTGCTTGAGAACTGAAATTTCTTGCTTATTTTTTATATACAATTAATTGAATAATCCAAATTTAAAATTTAAAAATTTATAATGAAATAAAATAAAGTAAAAGAAAATTAATTAAATAAAATGAAATACGATAAAATAAAATAAAATAAAATAAAATAAAATAAAATAAAATAAAATCAAATAAAATAAAATAAAATAAAATAAAATAAAACAAAATAAAATAAAAGAAAATAAAATAAAATAAAAAAAATAAAATAAAATAAAATAAAATAAAATAAAATAAAATAAAATAAAATAAAATAAAATAAAATAAAATAAAATAAAATAAAATAAAATAATGAAATAGTAAAATGAAATAAGACAAAATAAATTTAAATAAAATAAATAAACTTAAATTATATGATTTTAAATTTGATAGAATAAAAAAAAAATTAAATTATAAATAAAAAATTAAACAAAACAAAATTACTTTAAAAATAAATATAAAAAAAAATAAAGTGAAGTAAAATAAGATAGAATCCAATAAAATTTAATAAAAACATGAATAAAATAAATTTACTTTAAAAATAAAATCACATAAAAAATGAAAAAATCAATGCAAAATAACATAGCAATAAATTAAGTTTATATAATAAAATTAAATTAAATTTAATTAATAAAATATAGTAAAATATAAAAAAAAAATAAATATAAAATAAATATAAATAAAAATCCAAGCTTCTCTGGAAAGAAAAATAAGAGCCCTAATCTTAAGACTATTGCATAAAACTCTTAAACCACTTTTCTTCTCCTTCGTCTTCTTCTGCATCTTCATCATCATCAACTTCTTCTTCTTCATAATCACCTTCTTCATTTTCTTAATCTTCTTTATTTTCTTCATCATCTTCTTCTGGTGTTTCCTGCTTCATGTTGGCCAAATTGACGCTATCCCCTCCTCTCGTTCGTCAATTGTCTTGAACGCCGATAATAGCAGGCGAAAAGGCGAGGGGATAAAACTCGCTTGCTGTTAACGATTCGTTTCTTAATGCTTCTTATAAATTCTTAATTGGTCGGGGTCTGTCTTGTTTTGCCTCTGTATCTTTGCCTCCTTCTCCTCCTCTGACAGTCTTTCCAACTCATTTTCCGGATCGAGAAAATTTGGGGTACTTGGACTAAATGTTGTTTCTGTGTAGAAGTCATTGCTAACCCAAAAGATGGGCCTCTCATAAGAATCGGGCCTTGAAGAGCAGAAATTTGCATTGATAAAAATGTCTTCATGGACTTGATATTCTTTCCCTTCTTCACAATCATCATGTTCTTCTTCTTCTTCATCTTCGTTTTCTTCTTCTTCATAATCATCATCCTCATCATCTCCCGCTGGTGTACCTTGCTTCATGTTGGCCATCACTTGTGCCATCTCCTCATCTTGCTCGTTTTTTGTCTTGAATTCGGTTTATACCCAAGGAACCAGTTACTTTTTTCGCATGAATATTTATTAAATATTAATTTAACAACTAAACGTGTTTGTTGAAAGTTTCATAAATTCAAACAATAACTGATTGATTCTTCGCGTAAATATTATCAACACCAAGGCTTCCCTTTCATTAATGACATAAATTGCAAACGGGAAAAGCAATCAACTTGCCACATTGTGCGCTGCATTCCTAAGTAGACGGAAGATTTACCTGAGCAGCAGCAACAGCTGTAAAAAGAATGAGAAGGAGAAACGTTTCTAAAGCATAGCGACAAAAACTTAGTTTGAGACGAAATTGAACAAAGACTTTTTACAGCCACATTCCTGCGTAGACACTTTACTACGTAGACAGTAACGATAAAAGCAAGAAAATAGTATCGCTGTCACTCATCGGCAACGTAAACATCATCATTATGATCATTGCTAACATCAGCATCACCATCATCACAATCACCATTGTTAACTTCAGCAGTCGACGCTTGCAGTCTAGTCACGCTTTCACCTGCCAACAATAAACTGAACCCAATCAGCCATTTCATTGATTCCACCCACCAGCAGGCGACTTTTTCCAAGTTAAACATACACACACAGTGATAAGCTTTACCTATGAGAAGACTCTTTCAATGCATTTTACAATCGAAATTGAAGCAATAAAATGCTACTTAAACGTTTATATCCAACAGCTGAAAGGAAAGAGAAAAGAAAAGTGGTAAAATGTCTTCGAGCAGATCCTTATGATTCTGCTGAATGAAAAGTCAAACACAATGCCCGCCAACACATCATTGCAGTAAAAAAGTTACTGTTGTTGGTGTTGCACGTATCGCACGCAAGTCGTATATGTATATTCAAACACATTCTTAACCAGGGAATATTCCTTTCTAATAAATATGTTACATTTAATAATACCCTTAACTTCACATGCGAACATATTATTCTGCTTTTGTGTGGCATGTGGTCACTGGTGGCTAGCGCATGTTGCAAATCTTATTATTAAATTGTTATTTTTATTTGCTGCAATAAAATGTGTTATGTTATTTGCCGGTAAGTGGCGAGAAAGAAAGGAATGCAAGGAAAAGCATTTATTTGTGCTATAGATTTTCATAAAAAAAATATGAAATGTTGCATTATGGCCGAAGAAAGAAACCCTATAGCAAATTGGGTTAGCTCAAGATTGATTTCATCTTGTCAGTGTTGTAGCAATCTGTGCAGTTAAAATGCGGTCATACGTTTGGTTATTTATATTAATTTTATATTAATTTTTAAATTATTATCATATTTTTTAATTCAATTTTGCTTACTTGTTTTATTCAATTTAAATTATTTTATTTTTTTTATTTTTATATTATATACATATATTTGATTTTATTTAAGTTTTATTTTAAGCATTATATTAATTTTTTTTAATGTAATACATTTTTTACTCCTTATTTAATTTAATTTTTTTATTTTTTTTTGTTTATTTAGTCTTATTTTATTTTACATAATGCCATTTAATTT